AGTGCTAACAGAAGCCTGACATTACCAGCACATTATTTCAGAAAACGTCTGGACAACTAGAACAAAACAGGGCAGCCACATTAAACATAGACATTTTTACATTTACATTTACATTTAGTCATTTAGCAGACGCTTTTATCCAAAGCGACTTACAAATGAGGACAAGGAAGCAATTTACACAACTAAGAGCAACAATGAATAAGTTCTAAAGGCAAGTTTCAGGTCTGTAAAGTCTAAGAAGGGAAGTGTTAGTAGTGTTTTTTTTTTTTTTTTTTTTTTTTTGGGTACAGTTAGTGTGATATTCAGAGAGGCAATTGCAGATTAAGAAGTGAAGTGGAGACTAAATAGTTGAGTTTTTAGTCGTTTCTTGAAAATAGCGAGTGACTCTGCTGTTCTGATGCAGTTAGGGAGTTCATTCCACCAACTGGGCAGATTGAGCGTGAGCGTGAGCGAAAGTGATTTTTTCCCTCTTTGGGATGGACTTTTGCTTGAAGAGGAACTGATGTTGTTTTTTGTACGTATTTACTTTTTTTTTTTTTAAATAAAGAGACTGAATGATTATAAATTGTGCAAAAGGCCAACAAATCTGGTATTGTGCTTAGGACGTTTGCAGAGTATTTCATATAAGTGCAGTGTAACATTTCATTGATTAAAGTCCAGATGCTGACAGGACGCTGTCGGCACCTTGCTCAGTCATCTGACGGGTGCGTGGGAAAACGGCCTCTTCTAAAGCATCTGTTTGCCATTTCACACCCAGCACTGGCCTTTAGATGTGCTCCATTTGCTCCACAGGAACACGGATCTGATATAATAATCACACTCACACACACGCACGCGCACGCACGCGCACACACACACACACACACACACACACACACACACACACACACACACACACACACACACACACACACACACACACACACACACACACATATTAACCCTACTGGAGTGGCAGAACACTGAGCCGACAAAAACACAATGCAATAAATATCTCCCATGAGACGCCCCCTGACAATGTCCAAATCAAATTACATTCACTAAAGTTATATTAATAAACATAATAAGCCTATTTATTTATTGTAAGTAAAGTTTTTTTTTATGAATTTAATATTTTGAATAACTTATTGATAAAATGCAGGTAAAAATGAAATATGATATTTGTAAAATGTAGATTTATTTTGAGTTCATGCTAAATTTATTATGTTTTTTTTCTTGAGGTGATGTATTGTTATTATTATTTGTTTATTAAGTTTACACCTTGAATTTATTCTACATGTTGTAATACAAATTAAATGAAGCTTTCGTTTGAGTAAAACATGTTGTTGTTTTACTTTTGCAAAACATTTTTTTTTAATTATTACAAAATAATGTTGAACGCAAAAGACATTTTAATTATGGGGTAAAATACACTCACCGGCCACTTTATTAGGTACATCTGTCCAACGGCTCGTTAACGGAAATTTCTAATCAGCCAATCATATGGCAGCAACTCAATGGATTTAGGCATATAGACATCAAAATTTGCCAAATTTGTTCTATGTTGTAACATTTAGAAAACATTTACATTTATTATAGTACTATAATACATATAGATCTTAATTTTTATATATTCTAATGATACTGAAAGTATTTTTGTTATGCGAATGAACGAAAGACAAGACTGAATTTATTGCTGTCCAATTAAAGTAAAAGAAACTTAAAGAATATTTTATTTTATTTTCAATGATTCATTCATTTTCCTTCGTCGTAGTCCCTGATTTATTAGGTGTCACCACAGCGGAATGAACTGCGAACTACTTTGGCATATATTTTCGCAACAGATGCCCTTTCAGCCACAACCCAGTACTGGGAAATGTATTTAATTTAATTAAATTTCATTTCATTTAAAATTAGTTTAATAATAATAAATTATTTTTTTTAATTTAATTTAATTTAATGTAAATTTATTTATTTATTTTTTTACTCTGATGCTTGCTTCACATGGCTGTATTTGTGTTTTATTTTGTTTTCATATTACACATTTAGGGAACATATTTTAATTGTATTTATATTTGTATTTTTTATTTTATTTTATTAGTTTTTGTTATATTTTATTTATTTATTGATTGATTGATTGATTGATTGATTGATTGATTGATTTATTTATTTATTTAATTTCATTGAATTTTTTTAAATTTAATTAAATTTTATCTTGGACCTATGAAGACTGTATTTATATTTTATTTTGTTTTTATATTACATATTTTAGGAACATACTTTTAGCTATGCTGTTTTTTGTTTTGTTTTATTCTATTTTTTTTATATTTTATTTATATTTTTGACTCTGACGCTTGCTTCATGTGGCTGTTTGTATTTTATTTTATTTTCATATTACATATTTGGGGAACATATTTAATTTTAAATTTATTTTATTTTGTCTTGGACCCTGATGCTTGTCTCACGTCACTGTATTTATATTTTATTTTTATTTTTAGATATTTTTTTATTTGTTAATTTAGTTTAATTTTATCCTGGACCCTGATGCTTGCCTCACATCACTGTATTTGTATTTTATTTTGTTTTCATATGACATATTTCAGGAACATATTTTTAGCTTTTTTATTTTTTATTTAAATTAATTGGATTATTTTTAATACATTTTTGTTTATTTTATTTTATTTTATGTTATTTTATTTTATATAACTTTTTCTTTTTTCTTTATTAATTTTATTTTACTCTATTTTATTTTGTTTTTCTTTCTTTCTTTCTTTCTTTCTTTCTTTCTTTCTTTTATTTTATCCTGGACCCTGATGCTTGCCTAACGTCACAGTATTTGTATTTTATTTCGTTTCCATATAACATATTTGGGCATCATATTTTTAGCTAGACTGGGGGTAAAACCCAACCCAGACATTAAGTCAACTTTTTGACAGGCTTTTGCTTTGTGACTCACTCATGTGTGTAAAGTGTCAGTCTTGAGTCCTAGTTAGCGGTTTTATTCATCAGAAGTGACAGAAATGCTCTTCTGCCTTTGCTGTCTGCAGTTTTAGTGTCGTTTTGAGTTCATGCCACTCTTGTCTGCTTGCTTTTTTTGTATTGTTGTTGCTTCTCTTGAGCTTTGTGGCTGGTTTAGTCTTCATGTAAACAGAATAGTTAAAGAAAATGTGCTGTATTGGGATAATTACTGTGGTTTTGAAGTGTTACTCCCTAAACCAATCAACACATTGTGGAGGAAAAACTCACAATTACACCAAAAGTGCTGTGGTTTTCCCACAGTGCATTATTACATCATCAGTTCATACAAAAGGCATCCATACAAGCACAATAAAGCTGAAGAAACTCGTATTTGTTCACGGATACATTCAGGCTTATGATGTTATTCATCAGTTGTGCAAATCCTGTTACTTATAGCTTCTTTTCTGTTTGGCTTTGTATTAAAATGGTCAGTTTATTATGGAGGCTTGAAAAAGCCAACAACCTGTTATACTACATGAACTTCTTCTTCTGAGACTAATTTCTATGTGCAGCTCCTCCTAGACCGTTCATACTACAACCACCAAACTAACACCAAACCTCCAAACTGGTCTGAATCTGGTTGCTCTATCTTTTCCAACTGATCCGAATTACCGTTTTCCGAAAACAGACCCAGAAATTTCAAAAAAAGTCCCATTGACTTAACATTGGACCAAACTTAATGATCTCAAAACTTTGCGCCAGACTGTCATACAGACTTAAATTTGGACTCATTTAACTCAGACTACCAGTCTGCCAGTCACTGATGACCTTTTAACCACTTTGCCCTAGCAACCACTTACAGAACTCTAGCAACTGTCCCATAGACTTCCATTGTAAAAAAAAAAAAACTGCCATTGACTTAACATTGGACATACAAACATCAAACTAATACATACTAACAATAAGCTAATCATATTAGAAACATACTAATTTATCCTATAAACATGCTAGCAACATGCTAATTCTTACTAACATGCTAATTCATACTGGAAACATACTAGAAACATGCTAATTCATACTAGAACTATGCTAATTTATGTTAGCAACTGCCTAGCAACCACTCACTATGCTTTTGCAACCACTCAGAACACTCTAGCAGCCACCTAGCAACTCCCTGGCAACTGCCTAGCAACACTTTAGCAACCACCTTAGCAACACATAGCAACCACATAGCAACACCCTAGCAAACGCCTAGCAACCACTCAGAACACCCTAGCAAACACCTAGCAACACTTTTTCAACGACCTTGAACACCTTTTACATTTTTAAAAATGTTTGTATTGTTTAAATATTTTCCTTGGTAAGTGTAAAAACTAAACACTTACATTGAGTAGGACTGTGCAATAAATCGAAATCAAATTACAATCGCAATTTGAAACGTTTCACTTAGCTATTCACAAGAGGCTGTGATATGAAATATATACAGTTGAAGTCAAAATTATTAACCCCCTTTTGTAATTATTTCCCAAATGATGTTAAACAGAGCAAGGAAATTTTCACAGTATGTCTGATAATATTTTTTTCTTCTGGAGAAAGTCTGATTTGTTTTTATTTCAGCTAGAATAAAAGCAGTTTAAAATGTTTTTAAACACCATTTTAAGGTCAATATTATCAGCCCCTTTAAGCTATATATTTTTTACGATAGTCTACAGAACAAACCATCAATATACATTAACTTGCCTAATTACAATAACCTGCCTAGTTAACCTAATTAACCTAGTTAAGCCTTTAAATGTCACTTTAAGCTGTATAGAAGTGTCTTGAAAAATATTATTTACTGTCATCATGGTAAAGATAAAATAAATCAGTTATTAAAAATGTTTATGTTTAGTGTGTTTTAGAAATCTTCTCTCCGTTCAACAGAAATTAGGGGGAAAATACACAGGAGGGCTAATACTACTGACCTAATTCAGGTTTAATCTTCAAAAGACTGCATTTTCTTTTCTTACTATTAGCTAAAACGTGTCTCTCTTTTTCTCTCTGGTCTTGTTTCCTCTCACTAGAACAGACTTCTGCGTCCACAAAGATGAGCCTTGTGACACAGTTGGTGAGTATATCTAGCTTTTTTAAAAATATATTTTATTCTTTTGTGAATGCTTTTCATAGTTGCTTTGTGGGAATGTACAACCACACACAATAACCTCAAAACATAATATAAAATATACACTCACCGGCCACTTTATTAGTTACACCTTACTAGTACCGGGTTGGACCCCCTTTTGCCTTCAGAACTGCTTTAATGTGTGCACTTGTTTTATGTAATCAAACGGAAAAAAAAACCCAAATCAAAATAAATAAGAGATTCATTTGTTAGTAAGTTCGTAAGTGAAGAAACAGCTAAGGAGATTTGATTATATTTCTTTATAATAACTGTTCATTTTAATAAGCTAAACTGTTTGCTAATTCATTTGCCGCTATGCTATTTATTTTTCTTTTGTAAATAATAATAATAATAAAACTTATTACTGACCATTTAACTGTTTATTTACAATGAAACTGCTCCAGGTGAACATATTTAGTAATTTGGGGATTTTTAAAAGATTTTTAAAATCCCTTATTATAGTGGGCACATCCCTTATTTTCATATCCCAATGTTGACAGGTATGACACACAGGTGTAAATTTACCATAAACTGTAAGCATATAAGCACTTTAATAGTCAAATACATGCAAAAATGTGTCCAAAATGTGGGGTTTAGTGATCAACTCACATTAACCCCTGCTTGTTATGTAATAAACACATGTAAAGTGCTGAGAACGAGACAGAATGTGTGAATTAAAGCATAAATCAAAACTGCATGGCTCCTAAAGGGTCATGACACCCCCCACTTTCGGTTCAGGTCTACCTCAGAATTTTTTCAAAAGATGCATGATTAATGGGCGTGGAGCTCCGCGAGCGAAGGGCAGGAGTGGGTGTGGCCAGCAGGGGAGAAGGAGGGGAGCGAACAGCTGTTGTCAGTCGACTCACAAAATGAGACACAAACTGTGAGGAAATGCATGATTTTATAATTTACAGAGGTAAAATGCAAAGAAATAAACAGCAATTTAATGCCCTGCTACATTTGTTATTCGTAATTTCATATACACACAACCACAATTTATATCCTTATAAAGATAATCATGTTTATATAAACACAATGAGGTCTTTTCCCTCAATCCCCGGGTCTGAATGCAGACTCAGTGCTGCAGGTCTCTTGCCCTGTCTATTTTAACCATTAGCCCTGCTGGTAATCTAAAAGATTTTGGTGAACACAGCAGAACGGTGATGTGTCTAAATGTGAACGAACTCCTGATAAAAGACAACATTCGCCATTCTTCAGTTTTCGTACTGCTCTCCTGACAAAAATGCTTGCTATACACATACAGCTTTGCTGTATTGGCCCTGACAGGATTGCGGGGAAAAACATGCAACAAACCTTGTGGATCATGGAAACAAACACAAACGACCCATCATGAACAGCTAAATACTGTGTGCCGTGGGCCTGTGTCTCACAGCTTGGCACTGGCAGGTCTTCTTAGCATTTGGAAAGCATGCGCAGTCATGAATAATTAAGAAGCAGGCTCTTCTTATAGGATAAGAAAACTCCGCTATGAATAATAATGAAAAACTGACGCGTCATCTTTGTACTTGCAGTTTTGCGATACGCCGCTGATTTTGATCCCGCCTCAAAAATCATTTCAAGAGTTCACACTTAGATACTGTTTGACAACTTGTTAGCAAGTTAGCAGGTTTGGCATGCTGTCCCGGGAGAGAACCCTGAGCTCGGAGATAGTTGAGCCCAGGGCTCCCGCCAGGTCCATAAAGCATGTGAGAGGAGCACGAGGTCAGGTGTTCTCGAGAGCTCCCCTCGGCAAAAGAGGAAAGGAGGAGAAGGGGTGGATGGGGGGTTTCTTCGGAAAACGAAGATAAGGGAGTAGATCTTAGCTAGGTTATTTATAGTGAGTTTGGATCGATCCGATTGGCTAGCTAATGAGTGTAGATGAGTGGCCAGCTGCAGTCAATCATATCACGTGCTCCTCTCGAAATTAGTTTGTGAAACTTCATTTTAAACCCGGAAGCTGAAATTAGCTGACAAAAGCTCCAAATTATCCCCACAATTAAAGCTGACAGGTGCTAACATTGTCTTAACTGATGCTCAACACACACAAATCTGTAAAAATCTCTAAAAAAGTACTCGTGAACCTTTAAAGTGACACTATATTCCTGCAGCTTTTATCATTACTAATTTAACAACAAAAGACGAGGACTAAGTCACTCACTGCTCTTGACTGATTGATTGATGGATTTGTTTTTTTGTTAAATCTACAAGCAACTTCAATACTGACTTTGTAGCCCACCTAATAGGCTTTGGAGCAGAATTTGTTTGTTAAAGGTGTTTGTTAAAGGAGTTTCTAAACACACTCGTCAGGGTCCTGCTTTTCATTTACATCTGCATACCATGAGACCATCATCACGCCCAGAACAGATCGCAAGCGCATAGAAGCACCTCAAGAACCATTTGTTCAGTTCCAGACAATCGGAGCAGCCCATAATTGTTCCGGCATGCTAGCAATGATTCGGTCACAGTGGTGCTATTATAGAGAAACTGGGAACGGCATCTCTAGAATGATGAGTCTGAATGGACGTCTCTCTGTACGGGTGGCCCAGTTTCTTTAGGGAACATTGACATCAACCGTGAAAGACTCGCAGTCTGTGATAGCAGCCAAGCAAAGGCCTCTATGTCAAGACACATAAGATAAGCAGGCTTTCTATTTCTGTTCCACATCTTTGTTTCTCATTTAACACTCGCATGATGTAATTCTTCAGTTATTTGACTGTATATGGTCTCCAGTCCATTGGCTGTAGGGTTAAAAGCATGGTTTAAGTTCTGTGATCATTTACTTGTCCTCCACTTTAGGTTTAAAACCTGTTTGAGTTTTTTTTTTTTGTTGAACACAAAGGACGATATGGTGAAAAATGCAGAAAAAACAACATTTGTATTTTAACATACAATTGTATTTAATAGTATTTTTGTTCCTACACTGTTAAAAGCATTTAGGTGACTTTTAAAAGAGCAACCCAGACTCATTGCGGATACGTACGCAGGTCTACATTCCTGGGAACAGTGAAATACGTAACCGGAGGTACGTCTGCTCGCAGCTTTTGTTTTTGCAAATCCAGCAAAGACCACTGCGTATGCTTTTTGATGATCTCAAATTTCTCTCGGTCATCCTCTTCTTGCATGAATCCACTAGAGCAGGGGTCTCAAACTCGCGGCCCGCGGGCCATTTGCGGCCCTCAGTGCAATATTTTGTGGCCCGCGTTGACCGCTGTACACTGACAAAATCAGCGGAGCGGGGAGAGAGAGCGATCCCCGCTCCGCTGATTCTATCCGTACACAGCGGTCACTGGCATTCCCCGCCCGCCGTGTAAACAAAGGGGCGGGGATGCCGGTGACAACACCACGCACCCCGCCCCTTTGTTAGACGCTGTGACGGGCGGGAAGTGTTAGGAGGGAACTCGCGCCGGCCAGAACCAAGGTAAGCTGTTCCCGCCCCTGCCTGCCACTTAGCTACCTATCTGCAGCCTGCCACCTACCTAGCTACAGCCTGCATCTTATATATATTATAGGTAGATACAGACTGGTACAGACTGATGTGACTGGAGTGGGGTGGGGATGTTTTATTTATACATATATACGCCTTTTGTTTAGGTGAGGGAATGGAAGTTTTGAGTGAGTCTAGACAGGTCTAGACTTAATGATGATCATCTTCAAGCCATACTGAGGGTCTCAACTGCTTCCGCTCTAAAGCCAAATGTGGTTCAGATTTGTGAGAAGAAGCGCTGTCAAGTCTCTGGCAGCAAGAAGTAGGCAAAAGATGCCATGTTCAGAAGAACTGTTCATAATCTTCACTCAATGCTCTATTAATGTTCAGGACACTTCATGTTCAGAAGAAATAATTAAAACTGTTAATAATGACATTTAAGGACTTTTTTTTTGTGAAATCCCTTATGCGGCCCAGCCTCACACAGACTTTGCCTCCTGCGGCCCCCAGGTAAATTGAGTTTGAGACCCCTGCACTAGAGGGTGCAATTTACACTTCAGCCCAGGGGTGCGTTTCCCAAACAATAACACAACTCGTGGCTGAACTATCATAGTACGGTGCTTAGGTTGGGAAGAGAATGATGTAGTGACGAGTGTTTCCCAAAACCCGTAGTTTTTCTCTGTCACAAATCCATCGTTTGAAGCACGTTAGTTATAACGTAAACCGCCCAGCCAGGAACTATGTTTCTAACTACAGCACTAGAGGTGTAGTTGCAAGTGCACAAGTTTGCGATGCAGTTTGCGAATGTTTGTCGGAACGATGGATTTGGTAAATGGCAAATCAATGAACTATGTTTGTAACGACGGAACTTGCTAACTTTTGGCTAATGATGGTTTAAGGAAACGCACCCCTGGCCAGCTTGCTGTCGACTGACTAATTGACTGACTGACCAACTGACCCACCCTAAACCCAACTGATAGTGTTTTGAAAAGCCGTCTCAGTCGCATATTTATTCGCTAATGTTTTACCTGGTTTCTGGTACCGTTCTTCGCTAAACTCGAACACTGTCATCACGGTCAACTCTGCTCAGTGACCCAAATCCGCCAAAGTATGCAGCAAGCCACTGGGCAATCTGGTAACTCTGGAAAAGCCGTTTATATGGAGGTTAGCGTTTATCGGTAACATAAAAAGGAACAGAAGCCATTATCAGCGTCATATCATCTTGTAGCGTTTGTTTTAAAGACAACATGCAGCCATATGTTCATCTGGCTACATAATTTGCGATCTCCAGAAATGTAGACAGGGGTATGTATCCACAATGAGCCTGTTTTGAAAACAGCATAGGCTCATTCTGAAAATGTAGCATATTATACATTTCTGGAGATTGTGAATTATGTAGCTAGAGGGACACATGGAAGTACCTATCTTCTGATGGCTATACTTCCAGCAGGATAATGTGTCATGTCATAAAGCGCGTATCACATCAGACTGGTTTCTTGAACATGACACAGAGTTCACTGTA